AGTTCCCGAGCGTCTGGTCAAACACAAGATCGAGATAATAGAAGAGAGTGTTCCTCCAAAGGGCTGCGTCTACCATATGGGACAAGGCGAGTTGGAGGATTTGAGGAGGCAGATTGATGACATGATCGATCGTGGATGGATTAGGCCTAGTGAGTCTGAGTTCGGTGCACTTGTCCTGTTTGTACCGAAGAAAGGAGGCAAACTCCGGATATGCATTGACTATCGTGGCTTAAACCGGATCACCTGGAAGAACGCGTATCCCTTGCCTCGTATAGATGATCTGCTAGATGCTGCAGATGGGTGCAAGGTCTTCTCCAAGATCGACCTCAAATCTGGCTACCACCAGATTGAAGTTGATCCGAGTGACCAGCACAAAATTGCATTCAAGACACGCGATGGGTTGTACGAATTCATCGTTATGCCCTTCCGTCTTACGAATGCACCAGCCACATTTCAGAGCCTCATGGGCACAGTACTCCGCCATAAGCTCAATAGGTTTGTGGTTGTGTACCTTGATGATAATCTGATTTTCAGCAAGTCCATGGAAGAGCACCTCAAGCACCTTGAGGAGGTCTCGCAGGTCCTCCAGGAGGCATAGCTGCACCTCAACTTAGAGAAATCTGAGTTCGGAAGGGACAGCGTCATCTATCTTGGACACCGGTTGTCTGCAAACGGTCTTGAGCCGGAGGCAACCAAAGTGGAGGTCATACGAAATTGGCCTCAACCAGCGAACGTACGCGAAACTGCATTTTTTTCTTGGTTTGGCTTCGTACTACCGGAAGTTTGTGCCAAAATTTTCTGTTATTGCTCACCCACTCTCAAGACTAACCAATAAGAATGTTGTCTATGCGTGGTGTGAGAAGTGTGAGACTGCGTTCCAAGCCTTAAAAGAGGCGTTGGTGAGTCATCCTATGCTCCTCATTGCGGATCCCAACCTCACGTTCGTAGTCACTATAGACGCGAGCCAGTTTGGGATTGGTGCAGTGCTGCAACAAGATGATGGTGATGGCCTGCATCCGCTCGAGTATTACAGCAAATGCATGCCCAGCCACAAGGTAGCCACTTCCAAATACATGCGTGAGCTCTACGCCTTGCGCGAGGCACTCACACATTGGAAGCACTACCTCTTGGGTCGGCACTTCAAGGTCTACTCAGATCATCATACCTTGCAGTGGATTAAGACACAAACTGATCTCTCTCCTACGCTGACCCGCTGATTGCATGACATTGATGTATACAATTTTGAATTGAAACATAAGAAAGGTTGTTATAATCGTGTTGCTGATGCTTTGTCGCGTCACCCTGAGTTTTTGACTTGCCTTGTGGGTTCGTATGACCTCCGAAGGAAACTGAAGGAGGATCTGGTCGAACACACCGCCAAGGATCCGGACCTTAGTCCCATCCTTGAGCAGCTCAAGGCTGACCCTAACAGTCAGCCTAATTTTCATGAGTGCGAGGGTCTTGTATTCCGCCGGTATAGGAAGTTTGATCGTTTGTGTGTACCCAACCATGCGCCTCTCCGGACTCATTTCTTGGATTTGGCACATGGTCGGAGTGGACACCTCGGCTTTGAGAAGACTTATGGAAGCCTTCTGCAACAGTTTGATTGGCCAGGAATGAAAGGATCCACTTAGAAATTTATTGTTGAATGTCAGGCATGCCAAAGAACCAAGGTCCACAGGCATAAGCCTTATGGTCTGCTGAGACCCCTCCCCATTCCGGATGGACCCGGTGAGTCAATTTCCATCGACTTCACGGACATGGGAAAGGTGAGTGAGGATGGAAATTCACAAGTCATGGTCATCGTGGACCGTTTCTCCAAATTTTTGAACTCGATTCCTTTCCTTCCCCATGCCCCGACTGAACTTGTCATTGAAGAATTCCATCAGCAGTACATTCTGCAGTTCGGCGTCCCGAAAACTATTGTGAGTGATCGGGACACCAGATTCATTAGCAAAGATTGGAAGGACTTCACCTCTCAGATCTATGACATTAAACTGAACAAGATTTCTGGTGGACACCCCGAAGCCAATGGACTGGCTGAGGAGATCAATCAGACTGTCATCCAACTACTTCGCGCATTGATTGTTCCAGATCAGAACACGTGGGACAAGGAGTTGCACAAAGTGAAGGGACTGTACAACAACTCCATTCACTCTGCAACTCGTGTGACACCAAACCAGTTGCAATATGGATGGCCGATGCGTAATCCCCTCTCCTATCTGTTCCCCGAACAGTCACCTGGTCTGATGCCCGGCATGCCTGGCTACAATGCCAAGTACGCACGCTTGCTCAAAGCTGTTATTGCAGCCATGAACAAGCACCAGCATGCCATGATCAAACATGCTAACAAGTTGCGCAAAGAAGAAAAATTCAAAGTAGGGGATTATGTTTGGGTTAAAATGTCAGAGTTTTCTGATGAAGAGGGCATATCTTGAAAACTCCTTCCATTGTACTATGGCACTTGGCAAATTCTGAAGGTGATTGGGGATGATTTTGGTCCTTCATATGTGATTGACGTGCCTCCTCATCTGCGCACGTATCCGGTCTTTCATGCGTCCAAACTGTTTCCACATATTGATGATGAGACGTTTCCCTKCCGAGACCCTATGATACCTCGCCCTATCGACGACGGCCATGAGATAGACAGAATCGTTTCTCACGAGGGAAGAGGGAGGAACAGACAGTACAAGGTAAACTTCCTCTATCACCCGTTGACTGAATTCTTCTGGATCGACCGAAAAGAGCTGCTAAGGAGTGCTCCCCGTGTTGTGAACGCTTATGAACGACAAATCGTTGAGGGACAGACTGCTAAATTTGTTGCAAAAATGACTCCTCACGGACTTACTAAGTCTCTCTTTCTGATTTACTCCTACGATGCATTTTGTGCCAACTCTGAATGAGTTACTCGCTCGAAGGGACCTTGCTCTTGAGAGGGGGGTAATGTAATGACCCGCCAAAAACACAGACTGATAACACTGCTGATTTATGGGATTTGCCGCTGGAATGAATGCCTTGTTTGAAATTCCCGCATTCTGTTGTGATTTCCATGTCTGTGTGTGTGTGCGTGCCTGCTGGTTTGCATGCCTGTCTGAGTGCTTGTCGGTTGAGTGTGTGTGTGACCCACAAGGGTACTTGTTGGTTGCAAGACCCCACAGGGCCG